GTCTACTGATGCAGTTACTTCACTGTAGAAAACCACTAGGTCAGTCAGGCAGGACCTGCCCCTAGTAAAGCCAAGCTGGCTGTCTTGAATCACCTCCCTGCCCTCCATATGCTTCAGCATAGCTTCTAGGAGGATCTGTTCCATGATCTTTCCAGGCACAGAGGTGAGGCTGTCAGAGCAGCAGTTCCCAGGGTCCTCCTTTCTATCCTTTTGAAAAATGGGTATAAAGTTTCCTTTCTTCCAGACACCAGCAACTTCACCTGACTGCCATGACTTTTCAAATATTATGGAGCAGGGCTTGGCAACTACATCAGCCAATTCCCTCAGGACACTGGGATGCATCTCATCAGGTCCCATGGACTTCTGTATATTCAGGTTCCTCAGATGGTCATGAACCTGATCTTCACTTACAGTGGGAAGGACTTTGTCTCTCTGGTCCCTGTCTTGTGGGCCATCAACTTGAAAGCTGTGAGGAGAGAGGTTGCCAGTGAAGACTGAGGCAAAAAAGTTTCCTTTCCTTAAATTTCCTTTAAGTATTCTTTTGTGCATTTATATTGGAACAGCTGTATGTGCCAATATTATATACATTCACATATACTTCTATGATTTATATTTGGTTACATCAAGTGTTGATGAAATTTTTAGTTATTTGCTTATTTTAAAATATGAAACGTGATCTTTATTCACCACAGAAATAAAAATATTGGTCTGAGTTACTGTGTATTGTGATGTAACTACACTGCTTAGGTTCCTATCACTGCATTTTTAGTCAGTCCGATATAATGAATGATGCAGTCAGGCACAGGCTGGCTGTTAACTCTTGGCTTTTCTGGCTGAGTCAATCTCAAAGCATCAGCTGTAGCTCATTGTCTGCATTATGCAGTATATTTTTATCTTTTGAAATTTGTTTTCTGCATATATCCTGGTGAAAGCAAATGATTTTGAAAAGTGTAGTAGAATGGGTAAGGAAAATTCTGCTCTGAAAATTCTGATTCAGGTTTTATTTTTTTCCCCAAAAAAACCATTTTATTTTGAAATACATTTTTTTTTCGACATTATATTTGCTTCATACATCATTGCATGATGTCAGCGTTGGTGGTGCAAGACATGACATTCTGAAGTAGAACAAAACAGAGTAACATGAAATAAAATACACTTAAAATACTTCTTGAATAATAAATGTTGTTTTAAATAAAATGTTTACATTTCCAAAACACAGTTTTTCCAAAATAAATAATTCCTGTCTTGGGAAATGTTTTGTTTTCAGGGTGGACAATGGAGAAAATTTATGAGGTTTTTTATGTGATCGTTAGGTAATCCAGTAGAAAAATATACTAATAAAAGAGTTTGTCTGACTTAGATTACTGTGTCCTGTATAGAAGCAAGAAAGAGAAACAAAAAATCAGGCACATTTTTTTTTAGCTCTTGTACAATATCCTGTAATTTTTTGGAACATTGCCATTTTTCATTTATGACTGGAAGTGAATTACGGGAATTTGTGCTACAGGTGTCTTTTAGTTATGTCATGCAGATAACCCACAAACAAATGTAGGCCTTATCTCTGAAGATTTTCACATTCTTTCTGTTAAAAATTATGGATTTTATATGCTAGCAGAAGTAAGGTAGACTGTCTGGTAACACAAAAGCTAGTGTAGTCTTAAGGAAAGTTTTTTTAGTGTTGGTAAATGTTATGTCTAAAGAAACACGGTCTTAGACACTATCTTTGTTGCACGAATGAGGTGCTTAGATACATTCTGCATTCTCTGACCTTAATTTAAGTGATTGCAGTCATGGTTTATACTCAGTTTTCAGAAACCAGAATAATTTTTATGGAAGAAATGCTTTCTTTTCCCCCCTTATGATTTTTCTTTTCTTGATAATACTTTTTAAGTATTCCTTCACTGGTTTGTTTTAGATTCATTTGCCATGGGCTTGTCAATGGTGAGAAGTATATTTTCAGAGTCAGAGCCGTTAACGCAGCGGGACTCAGCGAATTTTCACAGGATTCAGAGCCTATAGAAGTGCAAGCAGCCATTGGTAAGCTGTTTTCCATTACTCTTTTCAATGGTAAATATGGGGGGGATTAATTAAATAAAGATGTTTTTGGGAACTCTTTGTAACTAATTGTTTTGTTTTACAATTCTGTCCACAAATAATAACTTATCCATAGATCCTATGGTCTCACAGCCATAGTTTCACAGTCACTGCACTCTTGTAGACTGTTCACCTTCACCATCCAGTCTTCTTCAGGTGTTTCTTGTGGACCACTGTAAGAGAGCACTGCCAAGTTCACTTTATAAGGGAATCCTGAAAAATGGAATGTCATTCTGATTCTTTAATATGGTATTTATCATTTTTAACACACACCATTCTATATACAGTCAGCTCCTAAGAAATTTGTTTCCATACCTAAACCTAATAATCAGTGCAATGTGTTTTTTGTAAACCTTCTATAACTCTGTGTGTTCTCCCTTTGTTGATGAATTACTTCTGTTCGCCACTGCATGAACTAATCCCTAAAGATTAATGGGAACACTGGAGTAGAATAAATTGTATGTATACAATAAATTGTATGTCTGCAACATCCTGACTCTCATTTGTATTAAAACTGCATACCTCACAACCTTGCAGCCAAGAGATGTGGCCTGGGAGTTTTGTGAGATCATCTTGAAAGGATCAGAAATATAATTTGGAAGAACTAATACTAAAATAGCTGTAGCAAATGAAGATTACTATTAACTTGCCATATTTCTTCTGCTCTGAGAAGCAGACATTATTAAAAGAACATTACTTGTGAGCAGGTTGAGAGGTATTCTATGTGTTTCAATTTTTTATGACTTCAAGCTTAACATTTTGTGCATAAAACCTGTGATTTGTCATACTTTGGCTGTATTGTATACATTATACACATTTCTTCATTCTGTTGATTAAATGAAGAAAAAATAATGTATTCTAATTCAAAATGTCTTTGCTGTTTTCTGGCAATTATAGGGGGAGGATTGCTTCATGGTGTGTGTCCTGAACTGAGTGGTAAAGCTGGCGAACTAACAGACTGCACTGCCAGCTGGGAAGGCATGCATGAGTCCTCCCAGCCTATCTTTGACACAGATGCTTTGCTAAAATGCAATGCTAAATTTAATAGAGAGACACTATCCAGTAGCTCTGACAGACTGGGCAGTACAGGAGACAATAAGACGAGAGAAATGGTTAAGGAACATATCACATCTGCACTGCAAAAAGTTGCTGCTAAGCAGGCAAGTAAGTCTCGATCCGGGCATCTGGAAAAAGTGTCAGAGAAGAAAGATACAGGTGAGAGCTAATAAAATAAATAGATTTCACTGCTTTGGTACATCCACTTGTAATGATTGTAACCTCTGCTCGTCCACGACACAAGTGAACATGCTCTCCAGTGATGCATCTTCCATCAGACCTGTTAATTACGTGCTCAACTCTCTGTAAAGATCATTATGCGTGTACTGGTATTGGAGACCACTTTACAAACTTAATGGCTACTGAAAGTGAAACATATAAATCTGTTGACTAATTTAATCACTTGCTTGTCTACATATTAATATATCCAGAATACTGTATTATTTCTAAATCACTTCAGTAATTTGTCAGGAGTCTTGTTACCTAGTCTCTGGATTATGTACATGTGAAGGAAACAAAATCTGATTATGGTGGTAAGCATGAAAATCTGTGTTGTGTTAGGATATATGAGGATCCTTTGTGGATTTATGCCTAAACTGCAGTTTATCCTCTGAGACACAGTGCTAAAGAATGTTGTGTTCTATCTCTGACTGACAGCAATGTGTGACAGGGAAAATCTATCAAGTTGAAGGCACATGCACAAAATCATGTTTTCTGTTGTCAACACCTAAACATCCATTGTCCCTGAGAAATGTGGGGCTTGAATTTCATTGAAGTCCTAGTACTTGGCCAGTGAATTGAATTCCTTAGCAGGCCTCTGAAGTGAGACTCAAAAGGCTTATGCAAAGTGTTGAACAGAAAACAAAATAGAGGCACCTTGGACTAGCTAACACTGATATAAAACATTAAAGAAAAAAGGAAACATGTATGATGTAGGATTTCCATCAAAAGTAGGACTTCAGGGTCACAAAGAGGGCTCTTCACTGGTGCATGACATACTGGGTGGGGGCAAGAATTTCACCGCTAGATACAGAAAAGACTTTATAAGAAAATGGGTTGGGATGAAGTTAATAATTTCTATATTGTTAAAAACATTTTTTGAAAAAGAGGATAATGCAGCAAATATTTAGTGTAAGTTCCAGTAACAGACAAGTTCCATTTCTGGTCAGTCTACAGTGCCTATGATCACGCTTCCTTCCATTAAGGTAAGATCACGTGATGGGTGCAATGATAAAATTTGCACAGTGTATAAATTTAAAAGAAAAATAAAAAAGAATGAACAGATAAAGTCCTTTCTCAAAAGGGAAGAATGTGGGCCTATTTTTTTTTAAAGAAGGAACTACAATGAATATTGTATGTGTGAAAAAGGGTTCACTTACAGCAAAAGAAAACAAATCATTGCATCTCCAATTTCTTTACTTTTGCCCTAATGTTCATTTTATTTCCTCATTTTTCACAGTTTTAAAGCGAGTCCTGGTCACTTACATCAGAGCTGCAATTGCAACACATTCTTTCACTATGTATCAGCTTGCTTCTCAAAAAACAAATGATCCTGAAAACTAATTCTGATGCATTTTGGACTTTTTAATTTGGTTTCTGGAAGCCTTTATTCTGCATTTCTTGTTCCAACTCCAGAAACTTCCCTTGACCACATAAATATTGTCCTAATTAGGAAATGCAGGGTGGGAGCCACCTGAATACAGCAATTGTATGCCAGTCTGCCTATTGAAATATTACTTCCTACTTGTGTATTATTCACGTTGAAACAGCTGCTCCATCTCCACCTTATGACATCATGGTACTTGAGAGTGTTCGTGACTCAATGGCATTAGGATGGAAACAACCTAAAGTCACCGGTGGAACTGAAATTACCGGCTACTACGTGAACTATCGTGAAGTGGTTGATGGAGTTCCTGGGAAATGGATGGAGGCCAATATTAAGGCCATTAGTGAGAGGGCATACAGGGTAAGAGGTTAACTTCTCTTATTGCTGTGGACACAGACAATATTTTCAAAGCAGTTCTTAAAGATAGATTGGGATGAATTATGATTCAGTGTACAGATTGCTAGTTGGAGAGATTTATATCCATGATGATAAATTTATTTAGCTCTGTTAAACTTCTCTGCAAAATTATTTATACATTTATCTGTTAGTCTGGCATGAACTGTCACCCGTGAATGCAGTACTCTAGACATAGCCTGAATTTTTGTGAGTCAGGCCCTCACAACAAGTGTCATTCCTACTGGGCTTGGCAGACCTACCCCAGTGCTTGCTGGTGCTGGAACCAGCTCTGTGCCAGCTGTGTTTTGTGATCAGTTCTTGACCGAATTTAGAGAGCGCCAGCTACAACCTCGTTGAGCTGCTTTACAAATGAAAAGCGATGCCAGGACTGAGTTTCACCCCCCTGTGAGGACAACTCTTGCCTTAAGTGAACTTGTTCTGTATCACGAGACAGATTAACATGATTGTTGAGAAATACCCTGCTCCCTCCCTGACTACCAAAGTGTCTATCAATAGGAAAAGGAGTTTTCAATTTGGGCATGCTAAGACCACTCATGTATGCTCCACCACTAACCAGAGGAAAAGCCAAGACAGTTATCGCCTTATATATAATGTCAATAATACTTTCATCTCTTCAGGCAATTAAAAGCATGTTCATGTGTTCAATAATTGTCATTGTGACTTTCTTCTAAAACCTTAATCCAAAGTTAGTAAGTACCATCTTATTGATTCTGCAGATTCAAGACCTGAAGGAAAACATGGTGTACCAGTTCCAGGTGGCTGCTGCTAACCTGGCTGGGGTTGGGACACCCTCCCTACCCAGCCAGCCCTTCAAATGTGAAGAATGGACCATTGCAGTACCTGGTAGGATCCTGAGTGGGAGGTGGAGGTTACTCACAGCCCAAGGGCACTCTTTGACAGATTCTCTAAATTGTCAGTGCCTTCAATTTCCAGGGCAGTTGATGGGCACTGAAGTTCATACCCAGGCTTGAATCTCCATCACTTTGATTTACATTTCACAATGATGCATTAAACAGTCCCTATTTAATCAGCAGCATTTTACAAGCAGCTTGTATTTTCTTTATCTTTCCTACGTGGTTCCTGTACCAGGTCTGCCACTTTGCTTCCTAGTTTAAATGGTAGACATAAATACCTGTCTAAGATACAAGGCAGAGAAGAATAAGGTCCTGTAACCCTTGTCTAAATGTATCAAGTCCAGATTGCTGGCCTTTTAACACTCTTTAAAATGAATGAAAACAACCTCCATTGACTTCAGTGGACTTTAGAGCAGCCCTTGAAGCAGCACATTAGCTTAATAATTAATTTATTTCCCGGAGTTCGGAGATTGTCGGTTTTGTTTGTTCATGAATATTTGATCAAGATATCAAACCTCAACAAATTGGATTGTTTTTTGGGCTAGTCTTTTTAATAGGCATGGTTTGTATTTATATCGGGTCTAGATATGATACAGAGGAGCTGCACATTATGTCAGCTCGGGGTGTACAACATGGTGTCTGGTTTCGGTCTTTGAAGTCTTATGCATTAGCCCTTTTGGGATTTATTTTGATACCACAACTCCAACTTTTACTCTTACCTTTCAGGGCCACCCCATGATGTCACATGCACAGAAGTTAGGAAAGACTCTTTGGTTTTGCTGTGGAAGGAACCAGTTTATACTGGTCGTAGTCCAATAGCTGGTTATTATGTTGATATGAAGGAAACTGAAGCAAAGGAGGAACATTGGAGAAGTGTCAATGAGAAGCCACTGCAAAATAAATTCTTGAAGGTAAATAGCTTAAGATTCAAATATTGATATAACAGTATAATCTTGAGGAAGTAGGGCTTCAATGGCAGCATCCTGTGCTGACTGTGGTTCCACTTAATGAAATACATCGTTTATGTTGTGCTCCTATGTTGTATCTAGGGATACATCTTAAGTAGGTTTGCAATTTGAATGGTTTTCAGAATACTTGAAAGACAATTCACTTTTAAGTGTGATCCTTTCAAATAAATTTTAGAGTATTTGGAAGTGCTGTTGTGTCAGTATGATTCCTCAAATCTTTACAATGAAATCTGTACAGTTAAATACCCTCCTGTTTCTAAATAAGTGTGGCTGGCACTTATTAACCTGATAATTTCATTTTTAAAAGCCAGAATTTACCTACAGTAAAACAATATGCCATTTCAAAGGTCAAGGTACATGAGTTAAAAGCATCCTATTCCAATAACAGTGTTCCATTTGCAAAGAAACCAATGACAGTAATGACACTGTCTAAATGTCAGTTATGCATACAAGGAAGGAGCAAGCCAAACAGATTAGTCATGTCACTCTGGAATTAAAAAAAAAAAATACAAGGAAGAAATATTCATCAACGAGAAAAGGAGGAAAACAAAAAGAAAGGAAATGCAATTGTCAAGCATCCAGACTGGAATTGTAAGAAGTGTGAAATTTGTGTTTTGTAACACATCATGCATGTATGTATATTTGCTTCCTCCAGATAGGTGGCCTACAAGAAGGTGTGAGCTATGTGTTTCGTGTGCGGGCAACAAACCAGGCTGGTGTTGGGAAACCATCAGATGTCACGGATCCTGTTGTAGCTGAAACACGACCAGGTTTGTTAGAAATACTTCCTCTTTTTCATCAGCAAGTTTGCTGACAACACCAAGCTGTGTGGTGCGGTTGACACGCTGGAGGGACGGGATGCCATCCAGAGGGACCTTGACAGGTTTGAGAGGTGGGGCCTGTGCTAACCTCATGAAGTTTAACAAAGCCAAATGCAAGGTCCTGCACCTGGGTCGGGGCAATCCCAAACATAAATACAGACTGGGCGATGAGTGGATTGAGACCAGCTCTGATGAAAAGGACTTGGGAGTGGTGGTGGACGAGCAATATGAGCCAGTAATAATGCTCTTGCAGCCCACAAGGCCAACTGTATCCTGGGCTGCATCAAGAGAGGTGTGGCCAGCAGGTCGAGGGAGGTGATTCTGCCCCTCTACTCCGCTCTTGTAAGGCCCCACCTGGAGTGCTGCGTCCAGTTCTGGAGCCCCCATCACAAGAGAGACCTGGAGCAGCTAGAACAAGTCCAGAGGAGGCCACCAGGATGATCTGAGGGCTGGAGCACCTCTCCTATGAGGACAGGCTGAGAGAGTTGGGGCTGTTCAGCCTGGAAAAGAGAAGGCTTCGGGGACATCTTATAGATGTCTTCCAATACCTGAAGGGGCCTACAAGGAAGCTGGGGAGGGACTTTTTACAAAGGCAGGTAGTGATAGAACAAGGGGTAATGGCTTTAAACTGGAAGAGGGTAGGTTTAGATTAGATATCAGGGAGAAATTCATGGATGTGTTCAAGGCCAGGTTGGATGAGGCTCTGAGCAACTTGGTCTAGTGGGGGGTGTCCCTGCTGATGGCAGAGGGGTTGGAACTAGATGATCTTTAAGGTCCCTTCCAACCCAAACCATTCTATGATTCTATGATTCTATATTTAAAGAGGTTCCTGTTTGTGTGATGTGTTTACATACAGGCTGCATGCAAACAGTCTGACCCTTTTCAAGCCAAACATTTTTACTGAGCAGGAAATAAGCTGAGGGTCATATCTTGCGTTCTTGTCTGGTGTTTTTTAAGGTTGGAACAGATTTTTTTTATCATAACTACAGGTTCAGGAATCTAAAACTAGAATAAAGTTGTAAGATTTGTATATATCTATAGATAAATGCATAAGCAGAGGACCCACTAAGATCAGCTCAACTAAAGCATTCTACAGATGTAGATTTTGTCCTTCCTATAGTAAACCAGTTGTTTATGTTTTCTCTCTCTCCTTTCTTTAACTTATGTAATGTGCCTGAGGAAAGGGTAAAAGATATTACCTTTTCCCCTTGGCTTTAAAAATGTAATGAAGTCAGTTTGCAGACTACCTTTAGTAGGAATTCAAGTGCAACTCTTTGCTAGAGTCCTTTAGGCTGGCTGTAGTGTGTCTATAATGCCATCAAGAAATACAGGAACCAGTGCAGAGACACTCCGTAATGCTGAACTTCAGAAAACCCCTGTGTTTTATTTAGCTGTACAGGTAACACAGGTGACTTTGATCAGAGTCAACACCTTTTTGTCGCTAAGTCCCTAACAGAAAACATAAACATGGGCTTGTGGCTTACTCATCTATAGACTATTTCAGAAGCAGAGAGTCCTACAAGGCAGAAAAACAAACTTTCAGATATTTTAAACAAATCTAGTATAAGGTTAGTATGACATAAGAAACTATAGGGGTACAACCCAGCCAGGATCCACCATACACTGTCTTTTCCTCTGACAAGTTCCCTTTCTCCACCTGCAGATTCTTATATCTGATCCCACCTGGGAAGGTTTCTAAGATCCCTAAAAGCACAGGAATGGAAGCAGGCAGCGGGCAGGCAGGACAGTGCAGGGGTCTGGGGCAGCCGGGCACAGGGAGCACAAGCAGCAGTGCAGGGCATAGGCAAAGGAGGTGACTGCCTGGGCAAAGAGCTGCCCACCCTGCCAACACAGTCAGGTGGAGAGCTGTTCCCGCCCGGAGAAACAGCCAGGGTTTATTTGGGATGGTACTTCCTGTGAGGTGTTGAGCAGATGTCACTAGCAATCATCAGTTCCCATTCCCACCCCAGCTTCCTCAGGAGCATTTCTCTGCGATCCTTTCCCTGTTTCTTACTCCCAGGTCCATTTTTCCATCTCCTATTTCTGCAGCAGCACTGGCCCAGCTCTCATGGTCCTTATGGCCAGGGCAGTAAAAATCCTAAGCCTTGAGTTAGCTCTCAGTGATGCTGTAAGTCAAGAAGGTCTGAAAAAGGGGTCTGAAGCTGGGAGTATAAAAGAACTGGAAAACTCAGAGTGGGGAGACTGGGATGACTGCTAGTGAGGCTGGGATGGGAAGAAGGGACTGGAAGGAGTAGATGGTAAGTTGAGAGTGTGTAAGATCGGGATAGGAGGACAAAAAAGGATAAGTGTGTGAGTAAGAAGGGCTTGGGACAGGATCTTTCAAAAACACAATAGCCATAGTTTCAGGTCTACAAGCCACTGAAGCACTAGGGCTATTTACTAACACAAAACCTAGAAACTTACTCTTGAAAACAGCTTATATACAGCCACCACTTCTAAAAAGAGAAACAAACCAATATTAATACTAAACTTTTGGCTTTACTAATCCATTTTCTTTGAGGGTTGATATCTATCTGTCAGACTTTTGATAAACATTTGTTATGATAACAATCTTCAAGTGGACTAAATAAAGGATTGGCCATGCCATTACAATTAAAAAAAAAAATACACATGTGAACTCTTGTGAAGAGGATCATCATGACAAAAAGAAATTGTACAGCGTTTTCAGTGGTCACTCAAATGAAGCACATGCCCACCTGGCAATATGAACCTGAGCGGAACACTTGGTTTACAGACCTCTCCATTAGAGAAGAAGGTACATCTCAGGATCATGGCTTTTTTGCAAGTGAAACTTGGGTTCACAGGTGTAATGTCTGAGGGATCATGGGAAAGTCAGAGTTTGGCCCAGTGAAATCTCAGGGAAGCTGAAAATTATTTACTTGTACAAATCTGGTTGACCCATATTTTGAGCTGATATACACAGATATGGCATGCACCAAACTAAGCTTCTTAAAAGTATTAAGAAAGGACAAAAGGAAAATTATTTCTGAAAGCAGTTTCTTGTGCAGGCTTCCACCTTTCTCACTCAAACCACACAATCTCAAAAACAATCGTACCTTTTTTTTTTTTAATTACTGTAAATCTTTTGATGTTGCCCAATGAATGCTGCCTTTATTACCATCTTGGATCAAAATATTGTCAAGTCTCTCTAGACTTTTGGAATGTTGCTTTAGGCAAATGTGTAAAATTGACAGACAACTGAGCTTTCTAATCAAAGAATGTAAGTAAATAATAGCCTGAATGAAAATACTTGCTTTGATGGGAATGGTAACAATTGTCTTTATCCAGTGAAATGTGTAAATATAATGATGCAATACTTTGCATCCACCTTCTCTTGTTTGAAAATCACATTTAATTTTTACAGCTGTCTTCTAAAATTAGTTGGAAAAACCTATCCACATAAACAAATACCAATCCAGGCTACTTTTGGGCTGTAAATTTGTCTTTAGACAAAAGCACTTCATTGTAGAGGGAATTCACAGGAAGCAGGAGAAATCCGAGAGCAGAGTGCAACACTTCCCCATTGCTACCCTTAGTCCTTGTACAGCCTAGTGCAAAGCAAAATGAGATTCTGATCCTGCATCAGTCACTTGAGAAGGGCTTTAGCCTCAGAAATTAATGAAACCCTGTCCCATTCAACTTTTCTGACCAGCTGTAATCAAAATTATGCCATTAACTCTAGTGTTTTGAAGCTGTCCACTTTATCTTCTTGTTATCTGTTTCCTTTCAATGCAATAAAATGCTCAGATAAATGGCGATTTGAAATGACAACTAAGTACTTTTTCATTATGATGACTTTAAGAGAAGCTCTGGATGATATGTTGAAACCACCAAGCTATCTAGAGGATGGAAATTTAAACTGCTACAACTATGGCAGCTTCTTTGGTTCCACTTCATAGGATAGGTGGAAACCTTTGGTCAGTAATTTTAAAAGGTATTTTTTTACTCATAGAAATATCAGAGGTAAGTGCCATCATCACTTTGGAAATAAATGCTCTGCATTGTTATCATAATGAGAATACTTTAATACAAAAATAACAGATTCTGTCCTTCAAATGAACCTTCTGGCTGTAATTCTTTGCACATCGCATAAACTGCCATCGAAAGATTCATGTGCTAGTAATCCACAGGAAACTAGACACTAATGAAATGTCAAGTGATGAATTTGCATATAATAAATTAAATTATAAAAAATTTGCAAATATGCTGCTGCCTAGTAAAATATTTGTAGACCTTAGACTTCATTTATCATATACTGGTACTTACATGCTTCATTACTGCGAGGGCTGGTAAATAACAGTATCAAAACAGGAGTATTAATCTCATCTTTCATTAAACAGTTATGGCAAACTATAAAGACTAAGAAAGCTGCATGTGCACAAATTGTCCTTACAGGAACTACTCACAGTGCTGGAAAGGATGTGTACAGTATTAGGATGATGAAACAGAAATCTCCTTGTATGCTTGAGGCTCATTAAGAATGATGCTGAAAATAAAGCATTTAATCTCAATGTTAGGAATAAGGCTCTTGTCTTTAAGATACAATACTTTGTGGAGAAAGTGTGTCATTAGCATTCTGAGCAGGACAGAATTGTCTTAGGCTAAGTGATACAACATGAGTGCCCTATTCAGATGCAAGATCCAGCTCCGAGCTGTTGGGAAAAGGCGGCTGGACGTTCTCCAGCACCTCTCAGTGCACATGTTCTCCCTGACATTCTGACAAGCTGTTGAAATGAAAGTTAACGCCACAGATTATGAGTTTGCCGAGCTGCCCAAATCTCAGATGAAATTATCTCAGCTTCTCTGGGGTGCAAGAGGGCAGGATAGAAGTGCCTTCGGGTTTCTGATCTGGGATTCACCCCTAGGACCTTTTAAAGGACAAACAGGGTCACCTTATCCAGCTCAAGGACTGTAGGTACTGGCAAAACAGGGTGGGCGACTTAAGCAGCTAATTGCAAATATTCACTCCCTTTGTGGGCCCAGGATTAATGCTGCAGACAGTGGCAGGGCTGGATGCCAAGCGCAGCAATTAAACCAACCTCCTGGAGTGAAGCCAGGGTCACTGAAAATGTGCCTCAGTTGCACGAGTCCTGACGGGGCAACTCGACTGTTTCCTCTTCTGCCTCCTGCACCTCTTCAAACACTCACATTTGCACGTGGTATTCCCTTTAGAGCTCTTATCTTATTAGGGAATAAGAAATTCTTGCTGCATAATGAAAGCTCTGACTACGTCTTACCATGGAAAATATTGCTATTTAATATTTCAAACATTTAGTGCATTTAGAGACTTGCTTCTTTTTTCCCTTCAGGTTTTTCCAGAGCAAATATCATAACTCTTATGTGTGCCTAGGCTTGCTTAAATAAATCAGCTGATTTATGATGCTTTTTAATCTGTTCCTCACTTTTATGGCTCAGAATAAGAACTGTTCTTGTGAATCAAAGACTGAGGATGCCAATGTTTGTAGCTATTTATGTGCTGACTGAGAAAATGGCGAGGACCTGAGTAATCCACCCTATGAATGATATTTATGTACATTTGTTTGCTGGCTCCTCTGAGAAAGTGGAATCACATTGTTCTGCTCTTTCAGGAACCAAGGAAGTTGTGGTTGATGTAGATGACAATGGAGTAATTTCCTTGAACTTCGAATGTGATCAGATGTCCCCAAACTCTCAGTTTGTTTGGTCCAAAAATTATGAACCAATTGAGGATGATTCTCGACTGAGCATCGATACCAAAGGCGGAAAGTAAGAACCTTCGGTAGCGATAGTCTTATATTTGAGAGACCTAGGCTGGTCACAGAAATCCATCCTTTTGGATGCATGACCTCAGTAAGAGTTATAGCTGCCTCTGTTTCTGGAAGGCCATTTGGAAATTGTAGCTCACACAGAATGAGTCAGGCCTCCTGCTTAGGCAATTTAGTTATGTTTAAGCATAGGGAGAGGAAATCTGTGCTCTGTCATCTTATATCCTGTCAATCAGGGCAAATAATTATTTATTATTATTATTATTATTATTCCTATTATTTCTATTTTCAGTCTCCAAAGGATAAAATTATCAGTCTGCTTGCAAAATGCATTTGCCATGTAACACTGTTGCAATCTCTGGAGGTGCTGGAGTAAACAGGACTGTCTTGTGACAGTGTCACCAGGGCCTGATTTGGTGACCTTTGTAATGCTGTACAAGCCTACTCTGTTTCTTCAGGCTTTTAACAGAGACGAAGAAATGGCAAATGCACCAGTTCAGCCTACAAACTGCCTATGTGCTCTTCCAGTTAGAGAAACCATACAGAAAGAAATGGTGGCTCACCACACTCTTGGTGTTGCATATGAAAATTGCATGAGCCTGTATTTACAGCATCCTTTCACACTCATCAAAGACTTGACAACATGTTTTTAAGCATGTTTGAGCTAGCTTAAACTAGCTATCTCCAGTGCCTTTGGCACTATCTGAGAGTTGTGCCATCTCTGTTTACCACACATGGTAGGACCCTGGGGCCCCGTGTTTGCGTGTTCAATCAGAGCAAAAGCTAATATAAGACTATCTTTATGTGGTGTTAGAGATGTAAAAGAGGGGTTTGGTCCAGACTGATCTCATCTTTTTATCAAATGCTTTTTTTTTTTTTCCATTTTTCCTAAAGGTCAAAAGCTGCCTTTAAGGATCTTGGAGAAGATGATTTGGGAATTTACTCTTGTATTGTTACAGACACTGATGGAGTTTCATCAAGCCACACAATTGATGAGGAAGGTAAACACGATGTCTATTAAGCATGCCTGTTTCACTTTCACATCTGTGTCTCTCAGATCCATAAGGCATGCACACTTTATATTATTTTTTTTATATCTTTTGCAGAAATGAAACGCTTGCTTGCTCTGAGCCATGAGCGCAAATTCCCAAGTAAGTGAATCAAACATGTCTGTAGGGGAGAGTTTTTCATGCAGTGGGGTATCACAAAGCTCCTGCCACTATGAGGGAAGGAAGTAACTATAGTAATTTCAAGTGAAAGTGGTTTTGACTTGAAGATCTAAGATTCCTTTGGTTTTTTTTCTTTCTTTCAGTACATTTGTGTATTATTGATGCTCTTCCTGATCTGTTGCAGGCTACTAGTCTAGGCATATAATAAATGTATATAATATTTGGAAAATAAGTATCCCATTGGCTTAGTTTCTTTTGCAGAACAGCCATTTATACTTATTCAGCATATCTAACATGATTGGAAAACCTGAATTTAAAAAATTCGCTAGCTAAACTGAAGTTAATGTAAGTTACGGTTAATGTTAACAAAGCAGGCAACTATTGTAAATACAGCTGTAATGAGCTATATATGTAATTTTCCTTCTGGAATGCATTCCTTCCTTTTTTTCTGTAACCTTGACAACATCCTTCCTGCTGCTTGGGATGATATTTCTCCACAGACTTCCCGTACCTTTGTGATATCTTGGTAGTAGAACAACTTGGTTATTTTAATTGGAATGTAACTTGAATAACTAAAAACCAATAATACATTGGATTGTATAATGAATCCTGTTACACACAATAAGATGAGACCTAAACTTTGTTTCACCTTCTCCCACTACATTAGTTTCTTCTTTGTTCCAGGCCCTAAAACTCTTGCCTATGTTTTTACATCTCTGGCTTTGTGCAAGCACTGCTGGCACCTCTGCCAACTCAGCCCACAACGTGCCTCTCAGCTCCTAGTCAAAGCTTGGCTGCAGAAATATCCTGGGTTTTTTTGCCCATGTCATGTCTCTTTCTCATTTCCTTCTGTATCTTTTCCATTCCAGCTCTACCCTTCTCAACATACTGTATCACCTTTTGACAGCTTAATGACAGTCCGAGCATCCCTTTGTTTACTCCTGCTTCTCCCAGTTGTTTCTTCCTAGTTATATCTTCACGATGAAAGTTAGTGGTGTCACATGTCCTTACTTGCCCGGACCCTTCTCTTCTGGGTGCTCTTCCATGCTCTGTGTCTATAACTAATGTCACAAAATAAGCTCCTCAGGACACAGATAGTGTCTTCTTTTTTTGTGTCGTGCTAGGTAACAATACACTTTTGGCTGTGCATGAGGTTCCAGGAGGCACAGGCAAAAATGGAGATCACTGCAGAACATATCCTAATGTTTCAAGGAGGAAACTGTCTTACTTGCTTCGGCTACTGCAGGCCATGTGGACACTAAAATAAATAATAAATAAATAAATAAATAAATAAATAAATAACACATAAGCGTTGAAATACATCCAGCCATGGCTATGAGGCTAGAAAAATAGTAATGAGCTCCTATGGATCAACACGAAACTTTAGTCATATCTCTGGATAATCTGTTTAAGGATTACCCAAATTCTCTACCAAAAAATTAGTTGCTAGGCTTTTCTGATTCAACATGAGCTCTTGCATGTTGGTTTGTACTTCTGAACTGCATGTAACTGTAACTTCTGCTTAGAAACATCTTCAGCCAGTAAGTCCATGAGAAAATGGGTTGCTTGAATAATACAGCCTTACTGAACACAACTACACATAGGTGCAATAGTGTATTGATGCTCAGTAAAAATAAATTGTTCCAACTCTTCAGTTTAGCAACTGCTTGTGGACACTCTGTTGAGTGCTCATGGTAATCTGTGATGCTATACAAATAGGATGTAAAACCTTGTAAGCACAATGGTTGGAAAATGCCTAAAGTAGCTTTCAACTGGTGCTTATGGAAACATTTTAAAATAAGACTTCTGCTCGTGGAGGGCTGTAACACAGATTCATCCAGTTCCGTTGGGCTGGGAAGTGAACAGCCTTTTCCTAAAAAATAATCCTTTTGCATCCTTTCAGCCTTTTGCTTATTAGCTTCTGAGATACATTCCTCTGTTCTATGTTAGACTAAGATATTCATAGTTAATTACATGCAAATTAAATAGAGGTTTAAAATTGCCATAGAGCTGACAGTGAGACAAAAGCAGTGCAGCCTGATGTCTGTTCAGACCCTCTCCCTCTTGCTTCCACTGACTCCTGTAGCATTTCAGTCACTTTGTTTTGAGAAATTATGCAAGACCTGAGATTCCTTTTGTTTCTTACAAGTGAAGTGATGCACTGGGTGAAGAAGCTTCATACGAGCCACATGCACTGCTGGGGCACATGCCTATGGGGTTGTTCTTTGCCCTGCTCCCTCATGGTAATGCTGTCCCTCCAGGCTCCAGGCTTTCCTCTCTTTGGTTAACCCTGTGGTTTTTTTAATAATTCTCTTTTTTTTGCTGTGACTGTTGCCTCACCCCCCAGAAGCCTTATTTTCACCAGAGACGGGTCCTGAGCCACTCAGGCACCAACAGCATACATGCGGGTGTGGAAGGGCGTAGGTGTGGGGAAGGGGTGAGCATGGGAAAGGAAGATATGGGGGCCCTCACCTCTAACTTTGTTTGGCAGTGGGGTGGGACAGCAGCTTTGCTCCAGAAGGCATCCCAGTCATTTAGGATGGTGCAAATAGAAATATGAGAGAAATTAGACACTACCTCAGTCCCAGTTCTCCCTTGCATATATAAAGTTGAATAGACTAGACTAGAATAGAATAGAATATTTTCAGTTGGAAGGGAAAAACAACCCTGCCCTGGCATTTGTCTAGGAGGAGGTGTATCTTTACACTGTCACCAGACTATATCATCAAGCGTTTTGCAATGTGTTTGCACACTCTCTTCAGCTGTTCCATGCTACACCCTTGCAATGCAGACTTTACAGTGCTGTGAAAGTGGAGACTGGGGTAGAGTTCACAGACAGCATATATACTTCCTAGAGTATGATTTTGTTGAAAATTTTAACATCTGCTAAGACAGACAAAAATGATGGAAGCCAATAAAATGAGCAATATGCCCCAATATCACAGTCTAATTGCTCATGTTTAATGTTGCTGATTAAAGTTAAAGTAAAAGCAAGCTGAGGACTCTTACTAATAAGAACAAGGAAAAATAATTTTAAAAAAGACTAAAATTACCTGCAGTACCCTTTACATGTTTTGGGGTTTTTTTTCTGCTAACACAAGGAATTGGTTTATATGCAGGGGATTTCCATTATTCATCAGTAAACAAAATGTACTGGAGGGATTGAGAGTGTGTTGTGATACCTAGTGAATTCTGGGAGATGGAGGTTTCATACAGCAAAGGATCAGAGTGCTTACAAAAATCTCCCAACCTGCAGCTTAGCAGCTGACTTTCTGATCTAGCTTCATACTTGGGGTTTTTTGGTATGTTTCTCCACTGAGTCATATCAGTGTCCTACAGCACCATTGTTAAACAATTCATTAAATGTGGGTCTGTGCCATACAGTCTTACATCATGCTGCAGAGATACTTGCAGTTTACCTTCAAAATAGATTTAGCATTGTATTAGGATGGAGGAGCACTGGCATAACTCAAATCCTCAACACTTCCAGTCTGTACAGACCTAGTAACTGAAGGATCAAAAGATTAAATCTTGTCTGTCATCCTGTGTATATGTGGGTGGAGAGGCATTCTTTCTATTTGAAGAGCTATCATAAGCTACTTACCTTGCCTACAGTATCCAAGTATGAAAGGAAGAAGTGGCTTTCTGATTACAGAAGAAAATAGTTGTTGGGGCACAGGCAAAGTAAATGCTTCATTCTTTTCTTTCTTCTTTGTAGCTGTCCCACTTGCCTCTGAGTTGGCAGTGGAAATTTTGGAAAAAGGAGAAGTGAGATTCTGGTTGCAAGCTGAAAAACTGTCTGGCAATGCAAAGGCCAACTTTGTATTTAATGATAAAGAGATTTTCAATGGAGAGGTGAGTCTTTTCATTGCTTAATGTGTTTGCATTTTTATGAGTATTAATGAGTTTTAATGTCTTTGTCTCCAATATACTTCCAACTAGTGTCCCACACTAGTGCATTTTCATGAGAAATAGTATATGTAATTGAAAGCATCATTAGAAAGATTTTGTCTGTAGTTGTGAGCTGCAGCTGAATTCTACTGGATGCAGTTTATAAAGCAAGAGTTAAATGACTTCCTGCCACCTGTGTGAGTATCACGTGTTCTGTTAACTAGTGGGGACCATAGGAGTTTCTGCAATAAGGTACTCCCAGGTAAGCAACTACTGTGGTCTTCAAGGAGTCACTGCAGTAGCCCATATTCATCCTATCTCCTTCATCTATGGCCCTAGCATACCCTTGTGCTCAGTTCTCACCTCTCTTTTCTGTTTGGAGGAATTTATTACACCAAGGGAAAATCCCAAGTGGTTGTTTCCAGTAGGAGAACTTGTTCCTCCCAAGGATGTGACATGGCATGCTTTTGTTGCAACACTGGTAGTGGTTAGAAGTCAGAGATGGAGCATTCTACACAAAACCTTATAAAAATATAATCAACATCAAAGAAAGTGTTATTCTGAAGAAATGCAAATCTA